ACCTCAATATATATGGAGAGAGAAGAAGAACAACGTTTTCTTGTTTCATAAAAAAAATAATTTTTTTTTATTCCTATTTTATTACAATTTACAATATTTTTCTTACTTCATTTGTAAGGGGTACATAGTCAAATATTTTATCGTGTATAATTAAACAGTATGCCGATGTATTAGCTGGTATGTTACTTGAAGCTTTCAATTCAATGCGGATATCGATTGGTCTGGTTTTAACCGATTCATTTTGATGTGTTACGTCCAGAACAACTATGGGTGGAAGCGTGAGAAACTCATTACGTTTCAATAGCGGATACGGATCGCGTAAATAATAACTTTGCTGACATCTTGAATATATATCATAGAGTAGAGCGAATTGATTTCGACTGAATCTAAGATTCAAATCATCATATGGATATGAATCGGAATTTAGATGTACCTTTACATTCGTTAAATTGCAATGAGTAAATTTGTTTTCGGCGTTTCGAAATGCTATAAGTAGAAACCGCGGTCGTTCGTTTTCACTGGCTAACTTAACATTCCATAAGACGGCTGCACTCTGTGGAAGTGTAGGATAATAATACATATCGCAAGCTCTGAAGCATATATTTAACGGTTGGCGAGAATTGATTTTTTTAAACATCTCCAATTTGTAAGCGTCAGCGAGTTGAACATGTGGCATTTTCCATGTAATATTCAAAATACTTAATTTAATTTGCTCGTCTGCCACGGTAGTTGTAATAGCTTGTTTATCATCTTTAGATCGTAATAAAATCAGTTCATGTTTAGAATTAACTATGATTTTATTGAAATCTTCCGCAAATCCAAGTAGCATCTGCAGTGGTATACAAAAGTTGAAATAACCGCTCACAATAGTGAGTTCATCGTTATTAAATTGCGACCATCCTGCATTCAGTAGGCTCTCACTCTCACGTTTATTCAATGATGTGAAATTTTTTATTTCCGTTGTAATGCCCAAATGACGTGTACGATCAATTTCTATACCGTTAAGCTCATATCGAATTTCATCAAACAGATGCGCCATACAATTGTTTAACAGTTTTATACTATTACAGATTGTGCCATCTTCTTTTGATGCAGTTCCTTCAATATATAGAAAGCTTTCGCTTGGTAGGACATACAAATCTTGATTTTGAATTGATATACGAATTTCATCATTATTTTTAAATGATTGCAAATACGATGTGTAACTGTGATATTCTTTTTTTATAATCGAATTATCAAATTGTGGTTTTTGTAATATATTAATTATATTACTCATTTTTTGACTTTTTCTGTCTATTTTAATTGAAACCCCAGGCTATTTAAAAATTCCTGATTAATTCTACTTAGGGTATTAGTAGTTTTGTTGCTTGGGTTTATTCGTTTGTATTTTTTTATTTTTTTATTATTCTTATTATCACTGCACGGTGGCGACGTCGACGTCGATGATGATGATAATGATGATGATGATAATTTCTTCGTTGTGTATTCTATAGATGATGGCGTTGAAGTGAACGTTGAATCATTGAATACGTCTTTTTTGTTGAATATTATCATCCTTATGTGTGCGATGATGGTTTTAAATGCAATCTTATTGAAATTTTTTCTCCACGGAAATTTATTAAATTGCCAGATTGATCGACAACTTTCAAAACAATTTATCGTTCTTGTATTTATAGGTAAATATATCATATTAGTCGGTATCTCTACAATTTTATATTCTGGACTAACAGTAAGTGAGAACTGATGAAGAGTATGCGCTGATATATTGTTTATATAAGATCCACTTACAATATTACATTCAATCATTATGGTATTAATCTTCGTTATATCGATTGTTTTATCTGAATAGTGTTCTATACCCTTCTCTTACTAAATCCCAATAATGATCCAATCGAGCGCTTTTTATTGAAATAAATTGGATCTATTGTACTCTTTATGTGTATTTGTAACGTATTATAATTTGCTTGAATATTGAGTATGCCTCCTTTATCATTCACATCATGATATTTACTTGTAATTAAATCGGCTATATCAGAAAACTCTTATGAACCAATAGAAATTGCGATTTGATGGTTACCAATATGAAATAAGTTGTTTTCCCGATCGACATTTTGAATTGCATGATACGTATCGAAACTTATTAGTCCGCAAACATAATTTTCATGAAGCTCAATTGGGGGAAAATAGTTTGCAATAAGTAACGAGGAGTTCCCGTTTAAGGTTAGTGTTATTGACATTTTAACGTCTGATGAGTGAATAAATTATCTATGAATGTCTCTGATAGCTTTTATTATTATTATTATTATTAAGATATATTGTTCATATTAATCCAAGAGTTGTGTTCCGATGAAAATCCTAACCATTTAACATAGACCATATTTCCCCTTCTCCTTACAACTTTTTCAACTAAATACGTTTGGGGAAATTTAGTTTTCATTAATTCATATTCATAAAATCCATCTTTAACTTCACGCCCCTGGAAGTCTTCTAACAAGTATGTATTTGGATTGGTATTTTTTATAGTTTTCACTCTAAAGATCTCCGTAGTCCAATTGGGTGTGTAGCCCTTCTCAAATTGATGTTTATATTTACTTATTCGTACATAATCATTTATTTTGAACTTTGACCTTTTGAATATTTTTAAATTGTTGTATATCGTATCCAGCAGAGATTTCTCATTTGAAGAATTCACCTGATTTGGCGTCATTTTTATCGTTCTATGAAACGTGTTATTGTATTTATCGATAAGGTCCTTATATATATGAATCCATTTATAGGTTCCTTGAAAACTAAACTCTTTCCTCATCATTCCTTTTAATGTTCTATTGAATCGTTCAACTATGGACGCCTTCAGAACGCTATATGTTGAATAGTGATTAATATGATTGTTTTGCATCAATTGATGAAATTGACTATTGGTAAAACTCTTTACCATTGTCAGTTTGTAAATTTTTCGTTTTGCGATGACTTTTCTCGAAAATTTCCTTCATAGCGTTCGTTACGTTTTGAGTAGTTTTGTTTTTCACCGCCATAGCCCAAGCCTTTTTCGAAAACGTATCTATTACTGTTAAAAGATAACGATAACCGTTATTTTGTACTGCATAGGTTATCATTTCAACCAAATCGGCTTGCCATAAATCATCAATTCCTTTCATTATAACTCGTCTTCTTTTGAAATGTTTACGTGCTTGTTTGTGTAGCTCATTAACTATTAATCTTTTATCTTTGTTTAGATCCATCATGCAAACTCTATGCGCTTTAATCTATTTTTGTTTGTTTGCAAATCTTGTTGTTGTTGTTATATATTACTTCTCTTAGTTGATCTTCCTTTTTTTTACATCCTTGCCTTGTTGTTCTCGCTCCATTAAACCAATCGATTTGAAGAGATAGTCCTCGATTATTTGAAATCGTTCTTCAGTCTTATTTGTAAATTGCTTATTCTTATTATTCAAATACGCTTTAACAGTCTGTTCAATTAATTTAACATCTTCTTCAACGTTGCTTGTTAGGGTAGTTTGTAATTTTGTTCAATCACCTCTCATACTATTCAATTGCTTATCATATTTTTTTTGCAGCTGCTCCACTCCAATCCATTTGAAAATATATTCTTCAATTTTATCGAATCGTTCCTCAATCTTATTATTATTATTATTATAAATTTAGCCAGAGAATAAATTCTAAGACTAAAGTCTTAAAGCACTAGCATCTAGGGCTATCGGCTTTTTATTAAAAACTCTACCGCACTTGAGGTTTGAACCCACGACTATTGAGTTGCTAGTCGAGACTCTTGCCTACTCGGCCACTCTTATTTATATAGCTTTTATTTGCATTAATTAGTTGATTCTTAAGAGTTATCTCAACTTGTTTAGCTTCGCTATTAATATCATTTTTGATTGTCGTATATAATTCATCTATTTGTTTTTTCATACTATTCATTTGTGAATCACATGAGTTTTGAAATTGTCTCATATCGTCCTCAATGCGATTCATTTTTGAAGTGTATGTAGTTGTTAGATTGTTTACACATCATTTTTTCTTAGCAAATATGCTTTTGTTACAGCATCTTTGGGTGCAATTAAATTACAAAGTCTTTTCTTATGAAAATCTGTGCCATTACCATCTATACTCCAAGCGTTTTCAATAAATTTGTCTTTAACTTTGAATTGTTGTACTGATAATGATGATTAATTCAACCTTCTCCAAATTTATTTATAGAACTCATTATTATTATTGTTAGTATTATCATTTAATTATGTTGGCCTCTCGCAATCCCTCAACAATCGAAATTATTTCGTTTTTGTGATTATTGTGCCCAGCACTTTCGAAAGAAAGAAGTAAGCGTAATCTATCAACTAGCTCGTTAGGATCGTCCCAATAGGTATAGATAGGTTTACGAGTGTCTCATGATTTTAATGATAGTCTACTACCTTTCGTTAGAAGATTTGATTTCTAATTAAATAATGGTCTTATTACACGTTGATATTTAAATGCTTTTGTACCTTTAATTTGCGCGCCTGGTTGATAATGACATTTGTACGCATTTGTATTTATTAGAATATCTTTATATTTTATCAAATCTCTTTTTGTATAATGTTGCGGTTTTGAGTGAAACATGAGTTGAAACAGACCTGGTGTCATAGTCCACTTAATATTTCCTATATTGACAGTGTTATCTCTATTCAATTTTAATTTATTATTTCCATGTCGCCAATTTCCCCTTACATCGACATTAAAACCATAAATTTTATCTATTCTATCTTCATTATTAATAAGTGTTCGTATAACACTATAGAGTGGGGATTTATTTGAATTAATGTTAGCAACATCATTTTTTCGTTTTTTATCAGTATTCAATTGTGATTTACTCTTTTGTTTCTGATTGAAAAATATGTGTGATGTTTTTAACCGTTTCGCATTATTATCATCAAAACCGTCTAGGGGCGTAGAATTCTTTCGTTTTAAAATCTTTTTCTGTTCAATTGTAATTGGTGTTGTTGTTGTTGCTTTCCTTCTTTGATATGTATTCTAAGTAGCTTAAATAAAACTAGTTTATTAATATATTGTGTATACAATTGGTGCATCTTTGATCGGAAAACATACATAGAATCATGATACAATTGTTTTTCAAATAAACAATTTCTAAAATCATTAACGGTTAGCTTAGCTGTAACACAATGTTTAAGACATTTAATTTTCTTACTTTCTCCTCCATTCTCATCGATTTTAAAGGAATACATTTTTGGGCGTAAACCAATGAATTCCTTCATTATTTTTCCATTGCATTCATCTTTCATCATTCCTAACACTTTCTTATTCATTTAGGGGAAATCGTATATATTTTGCTCAGGATATGCGGACGTATCAAAATGATAGTTGACATCATCTCGATTTTCATCATACAAGTCATTTGTTCTAATGTCATAGATAAACGAATCAGTATCCATATAATTTAGATTAATATTTTCCTTATATTTAGGCTTCATATGATCATAATGGAAATTGTACATTTTCCATTTAGATAATTCTAAGAGGGTAAATCCAATGTAAATTGGTTTATTGTACTCAACTCGCACCTTATTCATTTGAATTATAATCATTTCAGTGAACTATGGAAATTCGGTTTAGCTATAAGACTTTTCGCCCCCAACCTTCTACCGCTATTCTCCCATTCGCAAACTAATTTTTCTGACTCTTCTTTTGTCTACATTTTCCATAGTCTTGCCGTAGACAGCATTGTTTAATAATTTGAAGAAATTCTGCTCAAAAGAGTTTTTAGCTAACGTTCTATGATAATTATTGAAATCAATGTATTTTTTCAACCAATTCGATTGATTGAATTTAAGAATTTTGTGTATTTTTCTCAAAACAACACCATGTCGAATGCATTGTTGAAGGTTGCGATAATCTATTACGTAATGCGTTTTATCATTTAAGTCCGTTACTAATTTGCTACATTTCATGTGTGCATTTTTTTTATTTTCGGCACAAAACGGTAGATCGTTATGATAGTCATGTAACGAAGATGGATACTCCAAATCTACCTCCAATATATACCCTATTTCTGAGTCATCTTGCACCTCATGTTAATTAAAATTTTCCAAATTTGTCATCCATTCAAACTTTTTATGGGGTAGACATTGCGACATAGCATAACCATACATATTATTTACATCTAAATAAATTAGATAATTTGATTCTTGAGTAGGATCATAATCGCTTACATATTTATTGCTAGCTAAAGAATATCTTTTAGAGCATTGAAGAATGCCGCCCCTTATACCTCGGACAATGAAATTATATTTTTCAATGTCAGTCAATAATTCCAATTCTATTTGTGTTGTCTTCAACATTGCATCCCAAGACAGACCAGGTGTAGTATAATATTGACAAGGGTCTAACTTGTAAATATTTTTACATACTTTTCGGAAATTTTCAAAGACATCACATAATAGTAAAACATCAACTTTCAAATATAATAGCAAGTAATCTAGGAGCGTTCTACATTGGAATGTATTCCGCACATTTCTAGCGTGTTCATAATCGTCTACACTACATGCTTCATTGGTTAATTTATTGAAAAAGCATGAACGAGGCAGTAATTGGGTTTCTTGGAGGCGATCAACAGAGTCTAGATTATCATAAGGAAAGACTCCCTTACGTTTCATCAAATTGAAATCATTGATGTTAGGATAAACGGATTGGACAACAATGAAATCTGCATCGGACAAATATTCGGCCAGTTTTTGTAAACTTGTTGGCGTAAATTTAAATGAATCTAAAAATCGCAAATCGACAAACTCTTTTTCGCCTAAATATATTCTCTTCGATATAGAGGTATACAATTCCTTATTTTGTGGAATAACACTTATGCTGCCATCAATCGATGAAAGTTCCCTAATAAACAAATGACAATCGTACGCTGCAAGATTATGGAAAAATATAGGAACAAATGTTGCAACTTTATATTCTAAATTGCACTTATTATGAGCAGGTCCTCTATAATCACCTGTCAAATGACAGTGATCAGCTACCCTGTTTTCGAGAGGCAAAAACAATTTCCTACAAATGTGACAAATTGTATCGGTTTTTTTTCTCTCGCTTTCCGCAGGCGTCAAAGTGTTCATAGGTTTAACTTTACATAAATAATTATTGTAAATATCAAGAACATCTTTGACTAGATTTTGAAAAAAATGATTTGTTGAATTTTCCCCACTGTATATCCTAAATATGTCCGAGTGCTTATCGAATGCACACTTAACATAATAACTATAAACAAATGGAACATGCTTTTGCACCGATTGGATGTTTGTTGAATTTTGAATGTTAACTGGTTCTAAAATGCATTCAAAGTCAGCATAAACCACAAAAGGTACATCCAATTGATGCTTAAAATTCTTAAATCTAAGTATACGATAGTATGATGATAATCTAGACTAGGTAATTGGGTTACCATTTTTTTACAGTCCTGCTTATGTCTCTTCAACGCGTCCGCACAGTGAAAATAAATTAAACATATGTTACATATGTATATCGTCCTACAATGTTTCGTCAATTGTGATCAATCTGTAATTACATGTAAACACACACACACATATTAATAAACATAGGAAAAAAATTTTTTTGCATACTAGTTAACCTACCTCGATATGTGCTTAATCCGTACATAATGGAATTTTTCATTCTCTTGCAATAGCAACAGGTTAATGTGATTCCGCTTTTCTTCTTGCGTAAAATAATATGGGCCCACAATAACATCATCCTCGAGACCGAACACATTTACACTTAATTCAGAATTTTGCAACTCAAAGGCTTTTACGTTATCCACCGTCAGTGGAAAATTCAAGTTTTCAAACCTTAAGGCTGCGTTATTACGCAACACTATAATGTCAGCTCGAATATCCACAATTCTATATGATGAACATCTGCCTGGATTATCTTTTCGCTCGACGGGATACATGGAAGATATTATTGCCCACTAAAAACAGTACTCATCACTGTTTTGTACATTGATGCAAGCGTGTTTTTTGTATATCTTCACAGGTATACGTAAATAAGACGATCCTTTTAAAGGCTGATATTTGTTAATATTAATTTAAAGGCGTGAAATTTCTATTAATGTCTATCCACTGTCGCGCTCTTGAAATTCACTCATTTT